TAAAAGAATTATTATTCACTAAACTAGGAAACCACTCATCTATTTCCAGTCATTGGTATATTAAAAAAAAATCAGGACTGGAAACTCATGTCTGAGGCTCTGGAGACATGGAAAAAGGAAAATATATTAATAGAGAATTTATCACATTTAAAGAAGAGAGGAGTTAAGCGCAAAGGGCAGGGGAGAATGGTTTAAAAAAAACTAAGGCAAAATACACTGTTACAGTTCACACAACCTAGTAGTATACAGAAAAGTAGAAATTTACATGCAATGTAATATAATAGTAAGCGAAATACTAAGTGGGGTTAGCTAGTTAAGTGATTTTAGTGACTTAATAAACTTAATAACAAAAAGTTTTTTAAAGTTACTAAAATGAGGGGCGCCTGGGTGGCTCAGTTAAATGTATACTTTCGGCCCGGGTCATGATCCCGGGGTCCTGGGATGGGCCCCACCATCAGGATCGGCTCGAGTCATCAGGCTCCCTCCTCAGCGGGAAGTCTGCTTCTCCCTCTGCCCCTCCCCCTGCTCGTGCTCTCTCTCTCTCAAATAAATAAATAAAGCCTTTTAAAATAAGTAAAGTTACTGAAGTGATGGAGAAGTCATTGTTTCTTTTAAAATGAAAGAAAGAAATGATTTTTTTAAGAGGTAGCATGTTAGATTATACTCTTACATAAGAACATTTAGGTTTAACAAATTAAAATCTTTTTAAATCTCTGAAAATAGTATTCTCTAGTTTTTAAGTCAATAACTGGAGAATATGGAACATTATTCCATATACTCTTCAGTCTCACCATCAGGATATACCTTTTGATGGAGATGAATAAATCACTCCGACATGTAAACCATACAAACCAGCAGCTATTTTAAGATGCCCTTGAAAGACAAAGGCCCACACCCCAAAGGTCCAGCTTATTGATTTATCAACACTAGCACTACATTTCTGATTATCTGCCAAATGCAACTCATCCCACTCTCGTTTTAGCTCGTGCTAACAGTATTTCGTTTCTAAAATCAGAGCAGCAAACAAAACGTTCCAACCAAATACAACTTTTCTGGCTCATGGATCCTGTTCTGTTCCACAGGAAAAGCACCCTTAAGGTCTCTATAAAGTACATTATGCCACATATTTGTGACACTGAATAAATTAATAAACCAAATTAACTGAACACTAAATAAATTAATAAAATGCCTAAACGTCTAGAGAACATAAAGATTAGTGATCATGTGAAACTAATTATGCTACTCTTTCCATGGTATAGGTCAATTTTGGTTGCTGAGCATTCACTCAACAATCATTTGCTGAGTTGTGACTCGGCCAGACATGAAGGATAAAAAGACACACATGACAGAGTCCCTGCCCTCAAAGGAGGACCTGTCAGGTGGCTAGACATGGATGCAGAAATAATACAACACAATCACTGCTAACAGGGTTGTTATTGCCAAGATGCTATGAGTCCACAGAAGAAGAAATTCCAATGGTCCGTTTTGTTTTGAGGGGAGCACGAAGACTCCAGAACACTTCACACAGGTGAACACTAATGAGTTTAAGCCTGGGAAAACAATGAAGAAGCACTGGCCAAGCAGGAAGTAGGAGACAAGTTACCTTAGAACTCTGCTTAAAGCAACCAGATATTTCAGTAAAGCCACTTCATTTCAATGTTGAGAAAATTTATAAGATTATATTAGCATGTTTAATCAAAAGGCACACAGCAGCTGCGTGGCAGAATTGAGACCAAAACCAAGGTCCCCATGTTTTTATCCACTTCACCAGGACATTTAATAATGGTTAGACTTTATAATCTTACAAAAGGTATCATTCTAAAGTAAGATTTTTTTTTCAGGCCATACTGCTGAACTCCAAGTAGAACATGTATTGATTCTAAAAATCAACTAAATTCCCTGGTTTTACATCATATATTACCTTTACATTTATCAGGATGGTTTCCAAAATGCTAACATCAAAAGAGATAGCACTCTTACATTTTAGTTTTTAATAAAAATTCCTACTATATAATGCAAAAATTATTTACTCTTATGCTGTATTAGCAAAGGTGGGGGAAAACAGACATTTCACTGATATATATGTAACTGGTTGGAGTGCAACTTTGGTACAACTTTTGTGAAGTATGGTTGGATGTAGTCAACGCTGTAACACTGTTAGTAACAGCCAAAGACTGGAAGCAATGTAAAAATTCCTCAAAAAACAGTTAAATAAATGAAGGTGCATTAATAAAGTAAGGTGTAATGAACAATCAGACTTTCATGATAAAGAATGAGGAAACTCTAGACAGTACTGACAGGGACCATTCTCCAAAACCTCAGAAACTTACTCTCTGAACCTCAGTGACTTCAAAGTACTGGTACCCCAGGACAGTCCAGCTAGGCAAGTAACAAGTTATCTTCATATTACTGACAATTGATCAAGCAAACTCATGGCAAAAATGTGGCCAAGTGGCCTTCCAAAACTACCAATTACATTGAGCTTGATAATATCATATTACAGTGCCCTCCAACTTGCAAAATATTTTATAACAACATTCTAACTGTAAGAATGAAAAGAGGTCTTACAGCGCTTAATAAAACTAATACAAGAAAAATCCAGGGGCACCTGGGTGGCTCAGTTGGTTAAGCATCTGCCTTTGGCTCAGGTCATGATCTCAGGGTCCTGGGATTGAGACCCAGGTTGGACTCCCTCTCAGGAGGGAATCTGCTTCTCCCTCTCCCTCTGCCCCTACCCCTGCTTATATCCTCTCTCTCTAATAAATAAATAAAATATTTTTTAAAAATATTTAAAAAAAGAAAAAGAAAAATCCACTTAAGCAAAAGTTCCAATATGACAAATGAATTCAGCAAATCACAGTTCTATTGGTCAAATTCATGATCTACATGTGAAGTCAGAGCCCAAGTGTAACACATTATAAAATCTCCAACTCACATTTCATAGATATAAATAAGCAAGTCATATACTTTGTCCTGATAATTTGAACTGAAATGGTTTGCTTTCTGTTTCAGAAAATTATTTAGTATTATTTCAGTAATAGCAAACTAGTGTTAATAAAACAATTCTTTTTGAGGATACTGAGTTCTTTGCTGATCTAATGAAAGCCCTGGTACTCCCTGAACCCCCAAAAACACCTAACACTTGACGTTAAAAAGCATGATCACTAGAAAAACTTTATTCAAACAAGCAGTAAATTATTTATTGGTAAACATTTGATATACATTTCATTCAGTAGACTAACAATACAATAACAAAGAAGGCAGACATGTTCCTCTGTCCTTTCAGAAAATAATACTGGGGACAGAGGGAGGGACAGACACAGCTACAAAAGAAATACGCAGATAAACGACAATAATATACTGGGTGTTAGAAGCACAGATGAGGCGTGCCCCAAACCCAGGCTTGGGAGAACAAGGTATCAGTGAATGTTTTCCAAAACAAATGATGTCCAACCTGCAGCCAAAATGGTATGTTCACACTGACCAAAAAATAAGAGGACAGAGAAAAACAAAGAATGCTCCAGGCAGTCAAGTTAACATGGCAAAAGCCAAGAAGTGAGAGAGTACATAAACTGTTCAAGGAAGTGAAAAAGTTCGGTATGCAGGAAAGAGACGTAATGTATCAGGCCACAGAAATAAGAAGGAATCAGACAATGATTCCTAATCAGACAAAGGCTTCCTAAATCATACTAAAAAGTTTAAACTTCAATCTAACAGAAAAATGATAATCAGATTTGTGCTTTAGAAACAGCCACTCTGACAGAAATGAAGAATAAGCAAGAGGTGCAAAGACTAGAGGCAGAGCCAGCTAAGATGAGCATTTCAGTAAAACACTGAAAGGCTGGATGGTAGCTGGACTGGTAGTGGCAAGTGAACAGAAGCAGACAAGGGCTAAGAGAGAAACAGGGAGTAAACAAGATTTGGTAATAAACTGGATGTGAGAAATAAGAGCAAGGGTAGAGTCAAGAATTAGTAAGCAAGTAACTCCAAGCTAGAATACATGGATCTTGGGTTTCATCTACAGCCTAGATACAATGTCTAGGTACTAAATATATTTGTTAAATGAGTAAAGATTTCACATTTAGTGGCAAAAAGATTAAGAAAATAGTTTACACTCTAACAACAGGAAAAGTATATATTTGGCTATGATAAACATAGCTCTCATTATAATTAAAAAAAAAAGCTACTTTAGTGCAACATCTGTGTGGGATAAACAAGACCAAGATCCCCCAGACCACAGAGTAAGTGCGGAACAACATTCAAGGCCAAAGCACGCCTCAGCAGTTGCTAGAAACTGTGGATGTTACAGAATTGCTGGAGCACTTCCTAAGTGTGGTATGGACCTGCTCATCTACTGCTGGGTGACTTTTCTCCACATCATGTGACTTCTACACCAGAACCAAAATATCATCTGGCCCTGGCATAAAGACAGTCCCTGACCTGCAAGCACTGGAAACTTCACCAAGGCAGGGAGGGGCAGGGATCTGAGGCCAAGCGCTTCCTTCAAGAGAGTTATTTCCACAACTTGCTCCCACCCAGATTTTACAGCTGGGATGATGTTCATCTCTAGAGGGCTTATCAACAAAATGCTGACTTCAGTTGTTCTTATATTAGCAAATATCAGAAACTAGCAGGCAAATACCACTCTTCAAAGAGAATACCAAAAAAAGTTACAGTAAAAAATTAATATATACATTTATATTAAAAGTCATCAAATACTGAAGTTAGCAGAAATAACACAGTTTTAAATAAAAGAAACACTAACATAGTAATAAATGGCATCAGTTAAAGTCTGAAATATATTTAATCTAAAAAGTTCCACAATTTATATCTAATTTTCTAACAATTTATTCTAAAGGTTAGATAATTTGGTCAATATTCATCTAGGAAATATTTGTAAATTTATACCATTATCAAATTAATAAGCCTCCAAATATATATTACATATACTAATTCCAAAAATCCGAAGGAAGCAAAAATCAATATGATCAGTTCTTTACCTGCAGCTCCTTTGAGACTCGCTCTAGGTGATTAGTTATCTTCTTAATCAGATCACTGTACATCTGTTCTGAGTGCTGCTGGCAGACACATTTATACACACAACTGTGGAAAAAAACCAAAACAGAAAAACCAAGTTAACAATGAAGCACTTCATTCAACCTAAGATGAACGCATACTTCGGATATACAGCCACTAGTCATCAAATGATTAATTCAGGCCTAAATAAAGTGACCAATCACAACTTTTTTTATTATCTGAGACAGAGACAGAGAGAGAGAGACAGAGAGAGAGAGAGAGAGAGAGAGAGAGAATGCATACACTCGAACAGGGGAGGAGCAGAGGGAGAGGATCTCAAGCAGACTCTGCACTGAGCAAGGAGCCCAACCACAGGGCTCAATCTCACAACCCTGAGATCATGATCTGAGCAGAAATTCAGAGTCAGACACAACTGACTGAGCCACCCAGGCACCCCAACCAATCATAACTTTTAAATAGAAATTTACGTTGCCCCAATCAGTGCTCAGATGAAAGAGATACTACTACCAGCTGTAAATCTTTCTGAGTACTGCATTACACATTTTGTCAGTACTAGATAATCTACTATTGGGTGATCATCTGAAAATCTGACTACGATAACTACTTACAAACCAGCTTCTCTCTCATTCTTTCACTTCAACGAATGTCAAAATAAGGGAGAGAGTGATAATTAGCAATAACTCTAACTCACAAAAAGGTTTGTAATGTAACCTCTTTGTGCATCACTTGTGTAGAACAACACAATTGTCACCTCCTCCTTTGTGACTAGGCTGATCTCATGTCCCACCCCAGATCCTCACTAATTTGCTGCTTCCATGTACCAGGACCTGGGAAACAAAATAACCACAGATAGTTAGGATTGTGTGTTAATAAAAATCAACAGATTAAACTAGGGTCTCCGTGTGAGATAAAAAAATATGTACTTCCGTGCCAGATACTTGTCATTCTTGTCTTTTTCACTGACCTCCAAAGTTTCTTCATTATGTATGGGGGGGGTGGTGGCAGGCTAAGATGGGAAGACGTCTAAGTGAGGTGGTCTTAAGTCTACCTTGACTTGAGAGCCGATTCTGAAGGACAAAGTATAAATCAGACCTCCAACCTCCAACTGTGGAATATACAAATAACCTACAGATCCTCACCTGACATAATATTACATGTGTACACATACTGCCATATTTCAAGTGTCATGAACCTTAATATACCCTCTCAAACCCAGGCAAATGATATCTTGACTTACCTGTATATCTGTTCATAGGATATGGGGATATAGTCACCAGGACTCTGGGTTAAAAGCTGATCTATGGCACCATCCAATTTTGGCCAGTATGTGCTCTTATAATCTTCAATAGTTATAACATTCATTACTAAAAGTAGAAAGTAAAATAAATATTACTACGTATCACATGTAAAGTAAACACAAATCATAGCAATTTTGTGCTCTCAAATTCCTTTCACTTACTTTAATTTCTTTTGACACTCTTATCACCTAAATACAACTCAATTACTATCCCATTTCAAAAAAACAAAACAGCAATCCTGTCAGGGATTTTAAAACAGCCATTAATTATGATGTAAAAAGGAATGACGATGAGTCTGTCCTTAAAAATAAAAACAAAACAAGCATCATTGGTTTCCTTTTCCAGTTATCTATTAACAGTGGCACATTCTCAAACACACACCCTCTGATATACATTATCAATGAGGTGACAAGATGGCCTATCCATGAACCACAATAAAGTTCTAGGGAATTAGAACCCCAACAATCAACCTTTAGAGACACCCCTGAGAAAATCTACCTAACAGTAGGATTACAGGGATTAAAGTCCAAATGCTACCGTAACAAAAGAGGTTGCTAAAAACTTGCAGGAATCTTTGGCACCACTAGCACTTCCTGGACATGACTACAGCTCTGACTCAGATTCTACCTAGCTCACACTTGATAAGCCCAACAGAAAAAGTCAACAACCTGGAGACTTACAATGAGGCTTACCTTATTCCTCCTGTCTGGCTCTTAGTCCTTCACTAAAGGTTCATAAAGTTTTTATAACAGCTGGTCCTAACAACTCTGAAATCCAGGCCAACAGCTGCTTTACAACAATGAAATGCTAATGGGGAAAAGAGTGACTACCCGCCTGTCCTGGAGAAAAGAGCTATCCAAAGAGCCTAAAATACTTTTTTTTTTTTTTTTAAGATTTTATTTTTATTTGAGAGGCAGGGGAGGGACAAGCAGAGCCGGAAGTGGGGCTTGATCCCACAACCCCAATATCATGATCCAAGCCAAAATCAAGAGTCAGAGGCTTCATCTACTTGAGCCACCCAGGTGCCCAACACTCTGTGTCTTATGAACCACCACTATCTCAGGAGATCGGAGCCAACAATTACTAGATCAGGTATTTTACTATGTATTTTACCAGAAACTGGGGAGCAAAGAGCTGACTTCCCCAAGAGTACATGGCTAATTACTGCCAGAAGTACCAGATAAAAAAAGCCTTTATCTAACAACTTTCTATCACATTACTGATTTCTAAATTCAGGTTCAGAATGTTTCTCATATGTATGGACCACCCCTGTCATTGTTGTTCAGTATTTTCTTTAAATCAATTCACTCTTTCTTGCGTAAATTTATTCTAAAGGGCACCTGAGGAATGAACTATTGATTCATAGAGCATGGAATAATCTTAAATGCATTTTGCCAACTGAAAGAATCAGACCAAAATGGCTACATATTAGAAGATTCTCACTTATATGATGCTAGTAAAGTCAAAACTATAAAGAGGAAAACAGACCAGAGGCTGGAAAGTGGGGAGGACTGTCTACAAAGGGTAGCTTGGGAAAATGAACTCTTGTGTAGAACCAGTCCTAGTGGATACAGCACCCCAGGCATTTGTCCAAAACCAACATAAGTATATACCATAAAAAAGTACATTTACTGTATGAAAATTTAAAAAAAAACAAAACCAAAAAATAAACCAGGATGTAGTAGTAAAGATAGAATGAAAATCTTGACAAATGAATTCCTGCACTGAAAGGAATGGAGAAGAAACAAATGTTTTGACTTACACATAAGGCTAAAAACACAGAACTATATACGCATGTACAAAGACACGCACACACAAAAGGATGGAGGAGGCCAGATCACAGAGGGCCTTAGGGGCCACTCCTTTACTCTGAGTAATATGGGGACATTTGGAGGGTTTTGGGTGAAGTGATGTGATCTGACTTAGGTTTTCTATGGCTCATCCAGCTGCTACGTTAGGAGTGAGCAGTCAAGAGGCTGTGAGGTGATGGGGGTTGAACAAGGTGGCAGTAGTGGGGGTGAAAGAGGTCAGATTTAGAATAAATTTTAGAGGTTGAGCCAACCAGATTTGCTGATGGTTTGGATGGGAGACATGGATGACTTGGTTTGGATGGAGTCAAGGATGACTCCAAAGTTTGTGGCCTGAGCACCACAGGATGGGGCTGCTGTTTACTAGGCTGAGGAGGATGTAAGAGAAGCTCAGAATATTTCAAAGTCCAGTGGAAATTGTTGGTGCCCCATCCATTTACTCTGTCCACAAAGGCCACTGTCAACACCAACCATTATCTGCCTCAGTGTTCTCCTCTGGCTTTTAGAGTTGCTCTGACTGAAGGAGGGGCAGCTTGGAAGTTCTGAAGAATTAACAACCCCAGGAGCCTTCAAGTAAACGAGAATTCAGTATAAATATCCCAGTATCTCCCTTTTACTCTGGAGTAAGACAAGGCTGAGGTGCATGTGCTACACGGACTACCAGAGCTCCCCACTGGGCTTACACTCCTGTTGTCCACAGTGGTGACTTCTTTACTGGCTTCCTTACCTTTTCTGTCTCATGTCGCCACTCCCCTGCAGGTGCATCCTAGAATCACCCCCTTGTGCTTACAACTATCTGTGCTTTAAAAAAAGGAGGGGGGGGAAGAATCTATCCAAAATAGAAAAGCAGTATCATTTTCCATTAAACAAAAGGTGATACAGAAAAAAATACAGTGTTATTATTAAATTCTAGCCGTGTCCTACTGCCTGAAGCTGGAGCTTGCTCTCCCTGTGAAAAATGGAGATTGGCCAATGTTGATAAGTGTTACACACTAGCTCCAAAATACCATCTTTCTGCTTTTTGAAGGACTCAAAGAAAACTGAAGAAGAAAACTGGAAATAACTAAAAAGAACATCGCTTTCTCACTACGGGATTCTAGGTTACTGAATCTCCGATCAATCTATCACCTAAACCATATCACATACCTGCTCTACACCAAAAGTTGAAGTTTAAAGAAGGTAAGTGATATGCTCAGAAAGAAACCTTCAAGTACAGAAGCCCAGAATTAACATAATCCCATGGGCACCCAACTGCTGCTGCGTTCAATGAACTCTGCCTCTGCTGCAGTTGGAGAGCGCTCCTACTTCTCCATTACAGGCTTTACACCTCAGCAAATTACCAAGACAAAGATTCAAAGGAGGAAAAAGAATCTAAAATGTAAAGTCCTGCAGCTGTAACTACAGAACGGAGACTTCCCACTACAGAGATGGTAATTCATGTGGCAGGATTTTTTGTTTTGTTTTTAATGTTCTGCTTTTAAATATCTTTGAAAAGAGACTTTAAAACAAAAATGAAAAAGGCATGATCACGGAAAATCTTAAAGCCTATTTCCACATGAAAAAAAGTCATATCTATTTCCACTCTACATTTCCAAATATAAATAAAAATCTATTTATACATATATTTTGCTTGAGAAATAACATGTAGCCAATTCAGTTGACCTTAAATGCTACCTGTCGTAGACTGAATATTTGTGTCCCTTCCCCCAAAATTCATATGGTGAAATCTTAAACCTCCAATGTGATGGTACTGGGTGGGGCCTTTGGAACGTGATTAGGTCACGGGAGTGAGATCCTCACAAATGGAATTAATGCCCCCAGAGAGCTTCCTCACCCCTTATGCCATGTAAAGACACAGCAAGAAGACAGTCTACTATGAACCAGAAAGCAGGTCCTTGCCAGACTCTGAATTTGCCAGCACCTTCATCTTGGACTTCCCAGCCTCCAGAACTGTGAAAAATAAGTTTCTGCTGTTTATAAGCCACTCAATCTCGGGTATTGTGATAACGGCTTGAATGGACTAAGATACTAGCTAATATAACTTCCTTCTAGGAAACCAGCCAATCTTCACCATAGTAGCAAAAGAATAGGAGAATACAGACAAGTATCAGAAGAACCACAGATAGTCTGAAGAATGAACACACACCGGTATATACTCTTAGCCAAAGATTAGGAAGGTTTTTCATACCTGCAGTCATAATCTGCAGTCAACACTTAAAATAACAATCCAAAAAACTTTAAGGTATTCGTATTTCCTTGCTAATGTCAACCCACCCGATTGAAAAATATACAAAGCATGTGTGTGAATGTGTGTGGTGTGTAGTCCTGAATTTTAAAACTAGATCTTCTTGTTAGAGAAATGTAGTCAATCACTTTCAACTTTGTCCATAAAAAAGTTCAGACTGACAAAAAGAAACACAAAGCATGGAAACTAAACAAAAATGAAATTACTATTAAATTACTAAATTTGGGGGGTACCTGGGTGGCTCAGTCCATTAGGTGTCTGCCTTTAGGCTCAGGTCATGATCCCAGGGTCCTGTGATCAAGTCCCGCTTGGGCTCCCCTGCTCAGCAGGGAGCCTGCTTCTCTCTCTCTCCCTCTGCCCCTCCCCGCCTGCTCGTTCTCTCTCTCTCAAAGAAATAAATAAAATCTTAAAAAAAAAATACTAAATTTTATCTAGATTAGATTTTCCAGCTTGAAAATAATGCACTTCTTTTCAAACTAAAGCCAACAAAGCCCAGGCCAGGAACACAGACGAGTAAAGCAGGCCTAGTGTAAAAATAAAAAAGAACAATGAACACTACAAAGAACTGAAGGATGCAGTGCTCTCTGGAGACAGTCAAGTTCAAAAAAATGTTAAAACCCTAGTGTTGGCCTCAAAACATCATGCCATAAGACTTAAAGCTAGGAACACATAAGATAACAAGTTCATGCAGTCTAAGTCTTACTGAGAAAGCTGTTTAATTGACCTTTACTAAAATAAAGTGAAATAAAAAGTCTGAAACACATGGAATAGTTGAAATCTAAGGTTCAAGAAATATTAGCAGCTTACTAATAAATAAGAAACTATTAGAAACATATAATTTATACCAGGTAGGAGTAAATATGTTCAACTCTCACACTTTTTTATTCAAGTAATTTATCAAAACTTGACATTTATTACTGATCTCCCTCAAACTACACATAAGCCCCCTGGAGGAGAAATTTACTACTAGAGCCCCAACTCCAAAGAGTGCCTAGCACATGATAAGTACTCAA